CCATCCCCACGGTACCATCATCCCCACGGTGCCACCACCCCCACGGTGCCACCATCCCCACGGTACCACCATCCCCACGGTACCACCATCCCCATGGTACCATCATCCCCACGGTACCACTATCCCCACGGTGCCACCATCCCCACGGTACCACCATCCCCACGGTGCCACCATCCCCACGGTGTCACCATCCCCACGTTGCCACCATCCCCATGGTACCAGCATCCCCGTGGTGCCACCATCCCCACGGTGCCACCATCCCCGTGGTGCCACCATCCCCACGGTGCCACCATCCCCACAGTGCCACCCTCCCCACGGTGCCACCGTCCCCACGGTGCCACCACCCCCACAGTACCACCATCCCCACAGTACCACCATCCCCATGGTACCATCACACCCACGGCGCCACCATCCCCATGGTACCAGCATCCCCATGGGACCACCATCCCCACGGTGCCACCATCCCCGTGCCCACCTCGGGGAAGTCCCGCAGGACCTCGGACATCTCATTGCCGCGCTCGCCGCAGCCCACGTAGACGATGACGTCGCTGTTGGAGTACTTGGACAAGGACTGGGAGATGACGGTCTTGCCACAGCCGAAGGCGCCTGGGATGGCCGTGGTGCCGCCCTGCACGCACCTGGGGACGGGGGCACGAGGGGTGGGAGGGATCCTCAGCCCTGGAGTGAGGGTGACCCTCCCGCTGCCACCCGCTGTCCCTGTCCCCAGTCCCAACCCCATCCATGTCCCAACCCTTGCCCCTCTCATCTCTCCTTGTCCCTTATGCCCATCTCCAGCCCTATCCCCACCTTCATCCCTGTCCCACATCGCTCTCTCCCCATCCCTGTCCCCAGCCTCTCTCTCTCTGTTCCATATCCCCTGTTCCCATTCCCTGTCCCTATCCCCATCCCTGCCCCTTATTCCCTCTGTGATCTGATCTCCGTCCCCATTCCACACTCCTAAACCGTGTCCCCATCCCTAACCCTGCCCCTTATTCCCACCTCCAACCCTATCCCCATTTTCATCCCTGTCACGCATCACTCTCTCCCCATCCCTGTCCCCAGCCTCTCTCTGTGTTTCGTATCCCCAATTCCATCCCTGTCCCCATTCCCTGTTCCTATCCCCATCTCCATCCCTATCCCCATCCCTGCCCCTTATTCCCTCTGTGATCTGATCCCTGTCCCTGTTCCACATCCCTAAACCGTGTCCCCACCCCTAACCCTGCCCCTTATTCCCACCTCCAACCCTATCCCCACTTCCATCCCTGTCCCCAGCCTGTCCCTCTCTGTTCCATATCCCCAATTACATCCCTGTTCCCCATTCCCTGTTCCTATCTCCATCCCTATCCCCATCCCTGCCCCTTATTCCCTCTGTGATCTGACCCCTGTCCCTATTCCACATCCCTAAACCGTGTCCCCATCCCTAACCCTGCCCCTTACTCCCACCTCCAACCCTATCCCCACTTCCATCCCTGTCCCACATCGCCACCTTCTGTCTCCATTCCCATCTCTGTCTCCGTCCCCATCTCCCACCCCGATCCCGACCCCGTTCCCTACGGGAAGAGGGCGTCCAGCACCCGTTGTCCCGTCAGCAGCGGGTGATTCGCCGGCAGCTTCTCGGCCACGGGCCGGGTCTGGCGGACGGGCCAGACCTGCAGCATCGTCAGCTTCTCCGTGGAGCCCTGGAAGTCCAGCTCCAGCACCACGTCCTGGGGACGGGACGGGACAGAAGGGGACGGGCAGGACCTGCATCCCTCCTCACCCATCATCAATCACCCCGAGCCCACGTCCTGGGGACGGGCAGGACCCGCATCCCTCCTCACCCATCATCAACCACCCCGAGTCCATGTCCTGGGGACGGGACGGGACAGAAGGGGACGGGCAGGACCCGCATCCCTCCTCACCCATCATCACCCCGAGCCCACGTCCTGGGGACGGGACGGGACAGAACGGGACGGGCAGGACCCGCATCCCTCCTCACCCATCATCAACCACCCCGAGCCCATGTCCTGGGCACAGGACGGGCAGGACCCGCATCCCTCCTCACCCATCATCACCCCGAGCCCATGTCCTGGGGACGGGACAGAAGGGGACGGGCAGGACCCGCATCCCTCCTCACCATCATCACCCCGAGCCCATGTCCTGGGGACGGGACGGGACAGAAGGGGACGGGCAGGACCCGCATCCCTCCTCACCATCATCACCCCGAGCCCATGTCCTGGGGACGGGACAGAACGGGACGGGCAGGACCCGCATCCCTCCTCACCCATCATCAATCACCCCGAGCCCATGTCCTGGGGACGGGACGGGACAGAAGGGGACGGGCAGGACCCGCATCCCTCCTCACCCATCATCAACCACCCCGAGCCCATGTCCTGGGGACGGGACGGGCAGGACCCGCATCCCTCCTCACCCATCATCAACCACCCCGAGCCCCGGTCCCGGTCCCGGTCCCGGTCCTCACCGAGACGCTGTAGTGCCCGGGGGGGGCGATGTAGGTGACGGTGCCCCGGCTGCGCGGCGGCACCATGATCCTGTGCTGGATGAGCGAGTTCTCGGCCACCGTCCCGTAGATGTCTCCACCGGTGAGGTGGCTCCCGACCTACGGGGCAGCCGCGAGGCCGGGTGATGGGCTGCGACCCCCGGGGGGTACCGGGACAAGGATTGGGGGGGGGGATCCCCACGTCGAGCCACGCACCCGGATGTCCTTGCTGGGGGCAAAGTCCCAGTCGAGGTGGCGGGCGAGCGCGGGGACGTTGGTGCCCCGAGGGATGTAGATGCTGTGCGTGAGCTCCGCGATGTCCCGCAGCGGGCGCTGGATCCCGTCGAAGATGGAGCCGAGGATGCCGGGGCCCAGCTCCACCGAGAGCGGCTTCCCCGTGCGCAGAACCGGGTCCCCCACCTGCACCCCCGCTGCGCCGCGCTCAGGAAAGGGCACCGTGAACGGCGGGGGGGACCGGGAAGGACCAGGGGGGACAGGGGAAGCAGTAGGAGGATGAGGGGGGGACAGGGCAGGATGGGGGGGCAGGGGAAGGTGTGGGGGGATAAGGAGGGGACAGGGCAGGCTGGGGGGACAGGGAAAGACTGGGGGATAGAGGGGACGGGGCAGGATGGGGGGACAGGGAAGGACCAGAGAAAGGTGTGAAGGGATGAGGGGACAGGGCAGGATAGGGGGGACAGGGAAGGGACAGGGGGATAAGGGGGACAGGGAGGTGGGGGGGACAGGGAAGGGGGAGGAAAGGGGGAAGGAGGAGGGGACTGGGAAGGACCAAGGGGGACAGGGGAAGCAGTAGGGGGATAAGGAGGGGACAGGGCAGGATGGGGGGGACAGGGAAAGATGTAGGGGGATAAGGAGGGGACAGAGCAGGATGGGGGGGGACTGGGAAGGACCAGGGGGGACAGGGGAAGGTGTGGGAGGGTAAGGAGGGGACAGGATAGGATCTGGGGGACCGGGAAGGACCAGGGGGACAGGGAAAGGTGTGAAGGGATGAGGGGACAGGGCAGGATAGGGGGGACAGGGAAAGATGTAGGGGGATAAGGAGGGGACAGGGAGGAAAGGAGGGGACAGGGAAAGCTGTAGGGGGATAAGGAGGGAACAGGGCAGGATGAGGGGGGACAGGGAAAGGTGTAGGGGGATAAGGAGGGAACAGGGCAGGATGGGGGGAGACAGGGAAGGACATGGGGGGACAGGGAAAGGTGTGAAGGGATGAGGGGACAGGGCAGGATGGGGGGGACAGGGAAAGCTGTAGGGGGATAAGGAGGGGACGGGGCAGGATGGGGGGGACAGGGAAAGATGTAGGGGGATAAGGAGGGGACGGGGCAGGATGGGGGGAGACAGGGAAGGACATGGGGGGAGAGGGGAAGGTGTGGGGGGGACAGGGAAGGACCAGGGGGGACAGGGAAAGGTGTAGGGGGATAAGGAGGGGACTGGGCAGGATGGGGGGGACAGGGAGAACAGGACAGGATAGGGTCCCGTGTTAGGGACCAAGAAGAGGGTAGGACAGGGCAGCACACTGGGGACATGGAGGGGACCAGACAGAGAGAACAGGACAGGATGAGGGGATGGTGAGGACAGGGAAGAGACAGGACAGGGAGAATGGGACACGATGGAAAAGGATGGGGGGGACAGGGGGGGACAAGGGAGGATGGCAGGGACAGGGCAGGGGAGCAGAGGGGGGAAAGGGATGGTGGGGGGGTATAGGGGAGAGTGAGGGGATGCAGGACAGGGGGGACAGGGGCACACAGGCAGCAGGATACAGGTCTCCTCATAGACCTGGAGCGTGGCCATGTCCCCCTCCAACCGGATGATCTCCCCCACCAGCTTGGCGTGCCCCACACGCACCAGCTCGTACATGGCTGCTCCCGCCATGCGTGAGGCTGTCACCACTGCGGGGACACCGGGACACGGCACCGTCACCGACCGACCCCATCCACCAACACCCCCCCGACCCCCTCCATGCGGTACCGGGCCCCGAGACGCCGTGGACGGAGCCCATGAGGCTCTCACGCTCAGCCTCATCCAGCCGCAGCGCCCCAGTCCCCTCCATGGTGTCCTCTGTCAGCCCCGGTGGCACCGGTGTTATATGGGGCCGGCGGCCACAGGGAACCGGTTGGGCCCGGTGGTGGTGGTGGTGACGCCACAGGCAGGGGCTGTGTACAGTCAACAGCGCGGTGCCACGTGCCAGCACACACCAGCACGCACCGGATCGGCAGGGGCACGGTGACACCGTCCCTGCCCGCTGCCACCACCTCCAGAACCCCTTCAGAACCCCTCCACTGTCTTTTGGGGTCCACCCCGCCATCCTCATTCATCCCCACTGCTGGGGGGGGGCTCTGGAAGTCGCTTGGGGCAAAATAAGGGGGATCTAACCCTATATGGGGCTGCACCCCCTTTCCCTCCACCCCTCCCCCAAACCCCCTCAGCACCCACAACCAAAGGGGGGAAAAAAACCCAACATTTATTAAACAAAAGCACAAGCGCGGAGGAAGAGGAGGAGGAAGCCGGGACCGGGTGCTACGAGACCAGGACCCCGGCAGAGCCCCCTTTGGCTGCGGTCCCCCCGGCACCGTCCCCGGGGGGCTGCCGGGGCTCGTCCTCGCCCACCAGGCGGATCTGGTGCTGCTCCCGGAACTCGTTCAGCTCCCGGCCCTTGGCCTGCAGCTGCTGGTTCAGCGTCGCGATGATTTTGCTGATCTGGGTTGGGGGGGAAAGGGGAAGGTAAAAGCGGCTCCACCGAGGGGGGTACGGACACGTAACGGGATGGGGACCCCCCCACCCCGCTTCCCTGACCTGCTCCTTGTTGCTCTCCAGTGCGGGCAGCACCTCCTTGACCGTGCGCTCCACCAGGATGCCCCCCACCATCCGGTAACACTTCCGTGTGGGGTCCACTTCCCGCAGGGTCTCAATGACGAGGCTGCGGGGGGGGGTCACGGGGACACGCGACCGGAACCACCCCCCCCCCCACCTACCCCCCCCCTCAAATGGGCACCCCCCCCCTTTACCCGGCCTCCCCCCCCATCCTTACCCGGAGCCCCCCCTCCTTAGCCGGATAACCCCCCCCCTTTCCTGGACCCCTTCCCTTCCTCATCCGGACAACACCCCCCTCCTAACCAGGACCCCCCAACCGTTACCCTGACCCCTCCCCCCTCCTCACCCAGCCCCCCCCTTCCTTTATCCGGACCCCCCCAATCCTCACCCAGCCCCCCCCTCTTCCCCTCCTCCCCCAGCTCCCCCCCCTTGCCCGGACTCCCCCCCCACCTGTGCTCGTTGAGCTCCAGCTCCAGCTCCGCCGCCTTCGAGGCGAGGCCGCGCTGCTCCTGCCGCAGCCGGTTGAACCGAGCCACGACCTGCGCGGACAGCGCCGTGAGGGGGGATGCACCGCAGACCCCGCCCCACTGCCGGCACCCCCCCCATTCCCCTCCTCCCCCTCCTCCTCCCGGACCCCCCCGGTCCCGGCGCCGGTCCCGGACCTGCTCCGCGGTGGGCGCCTTCCCCCCGCCCGCTGCCGGCCGCCCCTTCCCGCTGTCCGCCATCTTGCCCACGGCCCACGGCCACGCCCCCTTCCGGCGGGAAGCGGAAGCAAGGCGAGGCGGCCGCCATGTTTGTGTAGGGCAACGGAGCCGGCGCTGAGGCGCTGCCGGCGCCATCTTTGTTGCGGGCGCGGGGGGGACTTCGCTCCGGGCCCCGAGGTGCCGCCGGTGGCGCATGTACGGAGCGGGGGGGGACGGGAGCGGCACCGGGGGGGGGATTTGGGGCAAATGGGGCAATTGGGGCGGCCTGATATGGGGCACAGCTGGGGCAGTTTTGGGAGTGCCTGGAGCAGATTTGGGGGTGCTGGGGCTGCTGGGGTCTGGCCTGGAGTAGAGCTGTGTCAGTTTGAGGGGTGCTGGAGGTAACTGAGGGCGCTGGGGGCACTTTCGGGGCTGGCCTGGGGCAGTTTTGGGGGTTCTGAGGCGGCTTCAAGGGTGCCGGGGGTGGCTTTGGGGGTGCTGGGGCAGTTTTGGGGTGCTGGGGGCAGTTGGGGTCTGGCCTGGGCACTGCTGGGGCAGTTTTCGGGTGCTGGGGCAGTTTTACGGTCTTCGGGGCAGTTTCGGGGGATCTGGGAGCAGTTTTGGGGTGTTGGGGGCAGTTGGGATTTGGCCTGGGCACTGCTGGGGCAGTTTTGGGGTCCTGGGGGCAGTTTGAATGGTGCTGGGGGCAGTTTTGGGATGTTGGGGGCAATTTTGGGGGTGCTGGTGGGAGTTTTGGGGTGCTGGGGGCAGTTTTGGGGTGTTGGGGGCAGTTTGAAAGGTGCTGGGGGCAGTTTTGGGATGCTGGGGGCAGTTTTGGGGTGCTGGGGGCAGTTTTGGGGGTGCCAGGGGCAGTTTGAAAGGTGCTGGGGGCAGTTTTGGGGTGTTGGGGGCAGTTAGGGTCAGGCCTGGGCACTGCCAAGGGCAGTTTTGGGGTGCTGCGGTGTGTTCCCCCCCCCATGCCCCTGTGCGCCATCAATCCCATGGCCATGGGTCCGGGTCCTATCCCCCCAATCCCCATCCTGTGCTGTGCCCCCCATCCCCACCCATGTCCCCCCACCCAGGCTGAGCGCTCTGTGCCGCCTGCCCCCCCTCAGTGCCGGTGCTGCCCTGTGCCGCGCCATGGCCACGAAGCCGCTGGTGGCCGTGGGCCAGGTGACCTCCACACCGGACAAGGAGCAGAACTTCACGGCCTGTGCCGGGCTGGTGCGGGAGGCGGCTCAGCGCGGTGCCTGCCTCGTCTTCCTCCCCGAAGGCTTCGACTACATCGGCTGCGACCCAGCCCAGACCCTCAGCCTGGCCGAGGGGCTGGATGGGGCCCTCATGGGGCGCTACGCGGAGCTGGCCAGGTACCGCCTGCCGGGCTTGGAGGTTTGGGGCCCCCCGGCAGAGCCGGTGTCACCGCGGTCCCTATCGCAGGGACTGCGGTGTTTGGTTGTCCTTGGGTGGCTTCCATGAGCGCGGCCGGGATTGGGCGACCACGCGGCGCATCTACAACTGCCACGTGCTGCTGGACTCCACCGGTGAGGCACCCCCCGATGCTCTGCCCCACTGATATGGGGGTCCCGTTTTGCCCTTTCACCCCTTATTGTCCCCCAGGTCACCTGGTGGCTGCGTACAGGAAGACCCACCTGTGTGATGTGGAGCTGGAGGGACGCGTGTCCATGAAGGAGAGCAGCTTCACCAACCCCGGCACTGAGATCGTGGCACCGGTGAGCACACCGGCAGGCAAGGTATGGCATGGGCGAGTACCCACATCCCTTCCCATGTCCCATGGGCGAGTACCCACATCCCTTCCCATGTCCCATCGCATCCCAGCACCGCATCCTCACCGACATCCCCCCATTCTCCCCATCACCAGCTTGGCCTCTCCATCTGCTACGACTTGCGGTTCCCTGAGCTCTCGTTGGCACTGCAACGCGCCGGTGCCGAGATCCTCACCTACCCCTCGGCCTTCACCGTGCACACGGGCTCAGCGCACTGGGAGGTGAGTCCAGACCCTGCAGCCACAACGAGGATAAAACCCCCTTTTAAGGGGTATTTAAGGGGCACAACTGCCCCTTCCAGAGCTGGGTTTGGTAGCGCCACGTCCCCGGCAGGTTCTGCTGCGTGCCAGGGCCATTGAGACCCAGTGCTACGTGGTGGCGGCAGCCCAAACCGGGAAGAACCACGAGCACCGGACGTCCTATGGCCACTCGTTGGTGGTGGACCCGTGGGGGGCTGTGGTGGCTCAGTGCCACGAGGGGCCGGGGCTCTGCTATGCAGAGATTGACCTGGAGTACCTGCACCGCATCCGGCGCGAGATCCCGGTGCAGAGCCACCGCCGGCACGACCTCTATGGCACCGTGGGGATGGTGCCATGAGCTACACTGACTCCATCACAGGCTGATTCACCCCGATCACAGCAGCAGGATGCACTTGGGGGGCAGAAGGAGGGCTCCCCCCCCAAAGCCCGGTTTTGGGGGTCCCGGTGCTTGTGCGGAAGGAAGGAGCCGGGTGCTGCAGTAGATGTTTATTTCAAGAAACCCAAAAGCTACACAGGGATTATGATGTTCGAGTGGAGCTTAAAAAATACAGAAGTCACAGAAATTACACCAAATTGTGCCGGAACTGTCCGAAAGCAGAAGATTGGGGGGGCTTGTGGGGGGGGGGGGCTGCCTCCCCTACCCCAAGGGGTCATCACCGCGTGGGGATGGGGGGAAACACCACAAAACAGGGATGGAGCTGTAACACCCCCCCCTTCCCCACCCTAGGAGCTGCAGGGGGGGGGGCATGGACCACACACTGCAGCCACCCCCCCCCTCGGTCCCCAAGTGCAGGCAGGGACTCAGCTGCCTGCTGCCAGCAACAGGCAGGGCAGGGTGCCCCAACCTGCCCCAGTTGGCAGCTGGGATGGGGGGGGGGGGTGGAAACCCCTTGGCGCTGGTCCTGCCCCCCCCCAGCCCTGCAGGGGAGGGGGACACGAAGGCACATGGTCCAGGGGATGCCGCGGGGATGGTTTTACTCCTGAGAAACCCACCGAGGCGACAGGGAGGAGGAGGAGGATGCGGGGGGGATGAAGAGGAACAAAGGGGGGGATGTGGCTGCCCCCAGAGCATCCCCCCCATAATGGTGACAAAGGGCAACAGGGCGACAAAGCCACCCCAGGGCTGAGCCCACCCAGCCCCAATCTCGCCCGGCGCCAGCACTGAGGTGCCCCAGGCAGGAATTTGCCTTTTTTCTGTTGGTTTTAATGGATAGAAAACAAGAGGGGAAAAAAAACCCAACCACCCCAAGTGAAACAAAATGGGGGGGGGGTGTGGGGTGACAGAACAAGGGGAGAGGGACACATCAGGGCCTCTCCAACCCCTCCAATGGGATGGGGACATGGGGGGGTCCACCATCGGTTTCTCTCTTAAGGAAAAGCCCCCCCCTTCCCAACAAGAAGCTGCCCCCCAACACCAAGGCAGGGGCTGCATCAAGGAGCCGTCTGCAGCATCAAGTTCCTCAGGAGTTTCTGACGCCCGACCTCGTAATCCTCCTCGTCCACATTGACCAGCAGTTTGATGGCTTCGTGGCCCACGGCTTGCTTGAGCGAGTCCGTGATGAAGACGCCCTTGAGGGCTTCCAGCAAGGAGCCGTTGATGTAATCGCGCCAGAAGGCGTCGAGGTAGGTGAGCTCTGAGAACTTTATGTCACAGATGATGGAGCCCAGGTCCCGGGACTTGAGGATGGTGTTGGCCTGGTTGAAGCGCTCGAACTGCCGCTCCAAAGGGTCCTGCTTGTTGGAGAAGACGTTGCCCTGAAGCGCTGTCTCGTGCTGGCAGTACTCGGCTCGCACTCGCAGGCGGATGTCTGACGGGGGGGGAGATGGGGAGGGTGGGCGTTGCTCTGAGCACCCCATGGCCCCACGCTGAGCCCTTCTAAAGCCCCATATTGAGCCCCCCAAAGGCCTACACTGAACCCCCTCAAAGCCCCACATTGAGCCCCCCAAGGCCCCAAACTGAGCTCACCCAAAGCCCCACATTGAGCTCCCCCAAAGCCCCACACTGAGCCCCTCTAAAGCCCCATATTGAGCCCCTCTAAAGCCCCATATTGAGCCCCTCTAAAGCCCCATATTGAGCCCCTCTAAAGCCCCATATTGAGCCCCTCTAAAGCCCCATATTGAGCCCCTCTAAAGCCCCACATTGACCTCCCCCCAAAGCCCCACATTGAGCCCCTCTAAAGCCCCACACTGAGCCCCCCCAAAGCCCCACATTGAGCTCCCCCAAAGCCACACATTGAGCCTTCTAAAGCCCCACACTGAGCTCCCCCAAAGCCCCACACTGAGCCCCCCTAAAGCCCCACACTGAGCGCCTCTAAAGCCCCACACTGAGCTCCCCCAAAGCCCCACACTGAGCCCCTCTAAAGCCCCACACTGAGCTCCCCCAAAGCCCCACACTGAGCTCTCCTAAAGCCCCACACTGAGGCTCCCCCAAAGCCCCACACTGAGCCCCTCTAAAGCCCCACACTGAGCCCCTCTAAAGCCCCACACTGAGCCCCTCTAAAGCCCCACACTGAGCCCCTCTAAAGCCCCACACTGAGCCCCTCTAAAGCCCCACACTGAGCCCCCCTAAAGCCCCACACTGAGCCCCTCTAAAGCCCCACCACACTGAGCTCCCAGCCCCACACTACCCCCAAAGCCCCACACTGAGCTCCCCCAAAAGCCCCACACTGAGCTCCCCTAAAGCCCCAAACTGAACCCCCCTAAAGCCCCACACTGAACCCCCCTAAAGCCCCACATGGAGCCCCCCTAAAGCCGCACACTGAGCCTCTCTAAAGCCCCACATTGAGCCCCCCATGGCCCCACACTGAGCCCCCCTAAAGCCCCACATTGAGCCCCCCATGGCCCCACACTGAGCCCCCCTAACCACCACACTCCTCCAAAGCCCCACACTGAGCTCTCCTAAGCCCACACTGAGGCTCCCCAAAGCCCCACATTGACCCCCTCAAAGCCCCACACTGAGCCCCTCTAGAGCCCCACACTGAGCCCCTCAGAGCCCCACACTCACCCCAAACCCACACAGCCCCAGAGCCCCTCTAGAGCCCCACATTGAGCACCCCAAGGCCCCACACTGAGCCCCCTAAAGCCCCACATTGAGCTCCCCCAAAGCCCCACACTGAGCTCCCCCAAAGCCCCACACTGAGCCCCACCAAAGCCCCACACTGAACCCCTCTAAAGCCCCACATTGAGCCCCCCCAAAGCCCCACATTGAGCTCCCCCCCCACACTGAGCTCCCCCAAAGCCCCTCACTGAGCTCCCCCAAAGCCCCTCACTGAGCTCTCCCAAAGCCCCTCACTGAGCTCCCCCAAAGCCCCTCACTGAGCTCCCCCAAGGCCCCACACTGAGCCCCTCCAAAGCCCCACATTGAGCCCCCCCAAAGCCCCACATTGAGCTCCTCAAGGCCCCTCATTGAACCCCCTCCCAAAGCCCCACACTGAGCCCCCCAAGAGCTCCTTACCGCAGGTCTGCTTCTCCTTGGGGTCCGGTGTCGCCGACTTCCTCCTCTTGCGCTGGCTGCCCAGGAGGGTCCTGCTGCGCCCGGGCCTCTTGGTACAGATCTGGGGTCCCGCTGCGGAGCAGCAGACCACGGGGTGGTGGGGAGGCACTGCAGGTGGGGGGGACACGGTTAGGGACACACAGACACCCCCCCGGTCCCAATGGGGCACCCTCCACATCCATGTTGGAGCATCTCCATCATCCCCAGCTCCATCCCTCCATCCTAGGAGAGCACAAAGGGGGAGCTCAAACCGTGCCCCCCCCAAACCAAGCAGCCCCATAGGGTCCGGTATCACTGACGGGGGGAGGGATGATCCCAATGGGGTGCCCCACAGCACCCACCTGATTTCTGGGGGTGGCCGAGGCTGTGCTCCGCATCGCTGTGCGCGCGCGGCGTCACGTAGCGGATGGACGTCTCCTCCAGGTACTTGTCCACCAGGTCCGGACACACTGGGAAAGAGAAGGAAAAGGGGGATCCCCATGGGAAGCTGCTATGGGGATGTGGGTCCGTCCCCCCCCAGTACCTCCCTCTCCTAGCCATGAATATGAATGAGGCAGGAGGAAACAGACCTGCGGGGTCTGGAAGGACACGGGAACAGGGAACGCTCGCTATGGAGCCATCAATCCCTGCTCTGGAGCTGCAAATGGGGCTACAAACCCCATGGGGGATGCTTTTCCTATTAAAGGCAGTGCAAATCCTGCTTTTGGCTGTTTGATGAAACCCTTTCCACAGGAATGGGGTCTCCTGAGCACTGAGCACTGCTCCTCTGATGGCGTGAACACCAACCTCAAACCACCCTGCTACCATCTTCACCATCAACCTACCCCAAAACCCAATGGGGAAGCTCCCAGCTCCCAGCACAGGGGGCACAGCAGCCTTAGGTGGGATTTTGGCCCCAGAAAGCTGCTCGAGATGCCCCCAAAATACCACTGAGACACCCCAAAACCCTCCAGAACAAGGGCACATTGAGGCACAGATGAACCCCATGGAACCAGCAGCCTTAGGTGGGATTTTGGCCCCAAAAAGCTGCTCGAGACGCCCCCAAAATAGCACTGAGACACCCCAAAACCCTCCAGAACAAGGGCACATTGAGGCACAGATGAACCCCATGGAACCAGCAGCCTTAGGTGGGATTTTGGCCCCAAAAAGCTGCTCGAGACCCCCCAAAATAGCACTGAGACACCCCAAAACCCTCCAGAACAAGGGCACATTGAGGCACAGATGAACCCCATGGAACCAGCAGCCTTAGGTGGGATTTTGGCCCCAAAACGCTGCTCGAGACGCCCCCAAAATAGCACTGAGACACCCCAAAACCCTCCAGAACAAGGGCACATTGAGGCACAGATGAACCCCATGGAACCAGCAGCCTTAGGTGGGATTTTGGCCCCAAAAAGCTGCTCGAGACCCCCCAAAATAGCACTGAGACACCCCAAAACCCTCCAGAACAAGGGCACATTGAGGCACAGATGAACCCCATGGAACCAGCAGCCTTAGGTGGAATTTGCCCAAAGCTGCTCGAGACGCCCCCAAAATAGCACTGAGACACCCCAAAACCCTCCAGAACAAGGGCACATTGAGGCACAGATGAACCCCATGGAACCAGCAGCCTTAGGTGGGATTTTGGCCCAAAAAGCTGCTCGAGACGCCCCCAAAATACCACTGAGACACCCCAAAACCCTCCAGAACAAGGGCACATTGAGGCACAGATGAACCCCATGGAACCAGCAGCCTTAGGTGGGATTTTGGCCCCAAAAAGCTGCTCGAGACGCCCCCGAAATAGCACTGAGACACCCCAAAACCCTCCAGAACAAGGGCACATTGAGGCACAGATGAACCCCATGGAACCAGCACCAGGCTCTTTTCAGGGCCTGCCCCCACTTGCTGCTTTCCAGGGAATGGTGTGAGCAGAAACCGGGAATAGGGAATTGCTGGAACAAAAGGCCCATTATCCTAATGTAAGGCAAAGATGCAAACTCCAGGGGTGAACCCTGCCGGAGCAGGCGATGGCCTCTGCACTGTACATTATGGGGTGATGACCCCAAAGGGGTCTTGGGGGAGAACCAGGGGAAAAAGGGGCAGCAGAAGAGGAGGGTTTGGTGCATCCCGATGGAAAACGGGTGAAGAAACCCCTGGATTTGGACAGGGGGTTCTCAGTCCGCCCTCTGTGTGTGCTGCCCATTGCAGTGCTGATGGCACCCACAGCATCTCCCATAGCACTGGGGTTGGAATGGGATGATCTTAAGGTCCTTTCTGACCCAAACCCATTCCATGACCTCACCCCAAGGGGGATGTGGTGCCAAAAGCATCGTTTCCCTACAAAGCAGAGCCCAGCAGCAGGTACTGGGAGAAGTGCATTAGAACAGGGGTGGTTGGTAGGGCAAGAGAGGTTCTCCTGCCCCTCTACTCTGCCTTGGTGAGGCCGCATCTGGAATATTGGGTCCAGTTCTGGGCCCCTCAGTTCAAGAAGGACAGGGAACTGCTTGAAAGGGTCCAGTGCAGAGCCACAAAGATGATGAAGGGAGTGGAGCATCTCCCTTATGAGGAGAGGCTGAGGGAGCTGGGTCTCTTTAGCTTGGAGACTGAGGGGTGACCTCATCAATGGTTACAACTATGTAAAGGGTGGGTGTCAGGATGATGGAGCTAGGGTTTCTTCAGTGATGTCCAGTGCTAGGACAAGGGGCAATGGGTGTAAACTGGAGCATAGAAGGTTCCACTTCTTTACTGTGGGAGTGCCAGAGCACTGGAACAGGTTGCCCAGGGGGGTTGTGCAGTCTCCCACATTGGAGATACTCAAGGCCTGCATGGACAAGCTCCTGTGTGATGTACCCTAGGTTACCCTGCTCTTGCAGGGGGGTTGGACCAGATGATCCCTTGAGGTCCCTTCCAACCTTTGGGATTGTATGAAGTGGGACTCACTCCATTCTCCATTGCTAAACCCCCAAACACCTCCTTACCCACCAAACCCATGAGTGCGTGTTAAACCCCATCACCCCCCCCCAACCTTTCCCCTCCATTGGGTCCCCCCCCAAGTGGCGAGGGTGGCACTCACCGGCGCGCCGGCGCTTGAGGGTGACGTAGGGCAGCAGGTCGTGGCGGGTGATGATGCGCAGGAGCTGCAGCACCTGGCGGAAGTTGGTCTCGTCGCAGCGGCCCTGGCGCTCCAGCGCCAGCAGGAAATCCCGCCCGCTGCGGATCATGCCCCGCTCGTAGTCGTCGATGACGTCCACGAAGAGGAAGGAGAGGACGCGCACGTCGCGGTGCGTCAGGTGCGTGCCCACGATGTCGAACATGCGGTGCAGGCTGTAGAGCCCGTGCTCGCGGTCGCCGCGCTCCTCCGGCCACGCCTGCGCCCGGCTCCGCTTGAAGGAGGCCATCGTGGCCCCCGGCAGCGCCTCGAGCCTGCGAGGCAACGGACACAGCGTTGAAGCCAATCCCAATGGATGCTGCTTCTGTATCCCAATTGCAGCTCCTTCTCCATGGATGCTCCCTCTGTATCCCACCACTGCAGCTCCTTCCCAATGGATGCTCCCTCTGTATCCCAATTGCAGCTCCTTCCCAATGGATGCTCCCTCTGCATCCGACCACTGCAGCTCCTTCCCAATGGATGCTCCCTCTGCATCCCACTACTGCAGCTCCTTCCCCATGGATGCTCCCTCTGCATCCCGCCATTGCAGCTCCTTCCCCATGGATGCTCCCTCTGTATCCTGATATTGCAGCTCCTTCTCCATGGATGCTCTCTCTGCATCCGACCACTGCAGCTCCTTCCCCATGGATGCTCCCTCTGTATCCTGATATTGCAGCTCCTTCCCCATGGATGATCCCTCTGCATCCCACCACTACAGCTCCTTCTCCATGGATGCTCCCTCTGCATCCGACAACTGCAGCTCCTTCCCAATGGATGCTCCCTCTGCATCCCACCATTGCAGCTCCTTCCCCATGGATGCTCCCTCTGCATCCCGCCACTGCAGCTCCTTCCCCATGGATGCTCCCTCTGCATCCGACCACTGCAGCTCCTTCCCAATGGATGCTCCCTCTGCATCCCACCATTGCAGCTCCTTCCCAATGGATGCTCCCTCTGTATCCCACCATTGCAGCTCCTTCCCCATGGATGCTCCCTCTGTATCCCACCATTGCAGCTCCTTCCCAATGGATTCTCCCTCTGCATCCCGCCATTGCAGCTCCTTCCCCATGGATGCTCCCTCTGTATCCTGCCATTGCAGCTCCTTCCCCATGGATGCTCCCTCTGTATCCTGCCATTGCAGCTCCTTCCCCATGGATGCTCCATCTGCATCCTGCTATTGCAACTCCTTCCCCATGGATGCTCCATCTGCATCCGACCACTGCAGCTCCTTCTCCATGGATGCTCCCTCTGCATCCCACCATTGCAGCTCCTTCCCCATGGATGCTCCCTCTGCATCCCAATTGCAGCTCCTTCCCAATGGATGCTCCCTCTGCATCCGACCACTGCAACTCCTTCCCAATGGATGCTCCCTCTGCATCCGACCACTGCAGCTCCTTCCCCATGGATGCTCCCTCTGCATCCGACCACTGCAGCTCCTTCCCCATGGATGCTGCCTCTGCATCCCACCATTGCAGCTCCTTCCCCATGGATGCTGCCTCTGCATCCCACCATTGCAGCTCCTTCAAAATGGATGCTCCCTCTCCATCCCACCACTGCAGCTCCTTCCCCATGGATGCTCTGTCTCCATCCCACCATTGCAGCTCAGCCTCCCTACCACTGGAGCATCCCACACCGAAGGGCTGGGACCATCCTGGCTCTGCCAGCACCAACTCTGCCACATTACCATGAACCAACGCCCCCCAGCTCCAGGCTCTGGGGCTCCAGGGCAGGACCTGCATCCCTGTTGGACCCCAATGACCCCACGGGCACTGCCCGCACTGGGATCACACCGAAACATCAAGGGAGGAGGAAATGGGGCTCCCGGCAGGTCCGGGCCTGTTGGGCTTCAAAGCCAAGCGAGGAGCAGCGGCCTCGTCAGACCGGCTGCTCCCGGCTCTGCCACCGCCCAGCACCGGCACCCACACCCCCATAGCCTCCCCTGCGTCCCGGTGACACCGGGAGCCTGAGGCCGGCACCGCAACACGCTCAGGGGAGCTCTTTCCTTATGGGAGGTGGGAGCAGAGCCTGCTCCTGCGCTGGTGGCTTCCAGGCAAGGTCCGGTGCTGGGAGCTCCCTCATGGCTCAGCCGGCTCCAGAGCCGCTTCCCCTGGTTGCTGTTCCCATAGCAGGGAGGATAAACACGGGATACCAGCAGGAATCTCCCAGCTATTCCCGGCACAGGCGGTGACTCACGCACTGGGAGGCACCGGAGGGCTCCCGAGCGCTTTCAGTTCCTGGTGGAAGATGCATGGAGCTGCCCATGGAGCTGGATCCCAGTGGTCGGAGCACATCTCCCCAGTCTCCGAAACCTTGGGAATGCTGAGTGAAGGAGAGGCCTTTCCCCAGAGCCACAGCAGCATCACATGGAATCATGGAAGCAACCCGTCTGGAAAAGCCCTTTAAGCTCATCCTGGCCAAGGCCACCGCTAACCCATGGCACCGAGGGACTGGGCTGTGCCGTTTGGGAACGCTTCCAGGGATTCCAGCCTGTCCCCATGCCTAAGCTTTTGGGGAAGGAAAGGCACAGCAACCCTTGTGGTGAGCAGCGTTAACCTGGGAGCACCCACACCAGCACGGTCCCATCCAGACCGCTTTGGTGCCGTGGCACCGGTGCTGACCGGTGCCTGCCGGGTCCCTGCTGCAGCCCTGAGTGTGTTGATACCACAACAGGAGCCTGACCTCTGTCCTCAGAGCTGCTCCTGGGACCTTTCACCAGGGCAGAGGTTCCCTTGGGATGCTTCGGTCCCAACCACACTGAGTTTTCCCTTCCAGGCACCAGGGGATTCCAATGGGAGGGGAAGATGGGGAGGATGAGATCCCAGCTTGCCCTCACCCTCTTGCCTTAACCCCACAGCACCGGGTGCTGATACCCTGAGAAAAGCCTTAAATCCCTCTGATTGCCTTGAGGAGCAGCCGGAGCTGCAGGAGGGATCAGCAGGAGCTGCCCCTGGCCGGGGGCATGGGGGGGGGGACAGGAGGCTCAGACACCCGGCACCAGCCGCCCTCAGCCCCCAGGGTCATTCCAGTACTGGAAGGTGAACAGGAAAAACAAGCTCTGGGTGCTCTGTGCTTCACCAAAGCCGGCGCCCGGCTCCTCCTGATGCCCAGTGGGGGTTTTGGGGGGGTCCATCCCAGACCCCCCCAGCTCTTCACAGCGCATCCCTGCCCACACAAGTCCCAAACCCCAATGGGATGGTTCCAGAGCCATGGAGAGGGATTGAGGGCTGCTGGGTGAGAAGCTCCCCATGAGCCATCAACACCCCCCCCTCCCCGGTGCTGGGAGCACCCCCAGGACAGGAGCATGGGGGGGTCCTGCCCCTCTGCTGGGCTCTGTGAGACCCCCCCCCTGCATCCTGCATCCAGCGCTGGGGCAGCAGCACCAGAGGGACGTGGAGCTCCCATAGGAGCCAGGCTGAGAGAGCTGGGCTGGGGCAGCCTGGAGAGGAGAAGGCTCCTGAAGGGGAGCCCTTAGAGCAGCTCCACTGCCTAAAGGGGAAACCTGGAGAGGGGCTTGGGACAAGGGATGCAGGGACAGGGCAAGGGGAATGGCTTCAGGAGGAGGAAGAGGAAGCACTCGGCCACGCTGCGTCACCACACACAGTGTCTGTAACGCCATGAGAACGAGGCAGATGCAGCAGCAGCTCTGCTGGGCACTGCTTTGGGGTAAGATCGGGGAGATTCGGTGCATGGAGGATGCTGAGCTTCACTCCATGACCTCATCTAACTCCTGCCACCATTTCCAACACCGAGGAACAGCCCCCCCCCCCTCGATACCTGGGCACCCACATTCCAAAGCTCTGGAGCTGCTCCCCCGGAGCCTCCCCCACAAGCAACACTCGGGCCATGGACACAGCTTCACCCATCAGCAAAAGGAGCCTGGGTTGGGATCCACCCGCAGCCAAGGCTTCCCAGACATTCCCAGCCAGGCCCATTGGAGGCATCAACCCCCATCAGGCCCAGATATCCACCCTGGAAGGGCTCCATTAAGGAGGGATGGGTGACACACGCACAACACACGGAGCAGCACCCACCTTACAGAGGAGCTCTGATATCCCGGTTTCCCACAGCAGCCGTGCTGGAGGCTTCTATCCCCTTTGCTCCTTGGCTTCTTCCCCCGGCTGCAGGTTCCTGGTGCCTCTTGCAGCGCCGGAGCCAAACTTCCGCAGCCGGATTCAGCGATTTGCCAGAAACCACCCAATTATTTGGTTTTCCCCCCCAAAAAAGCTTGGGTTTCCCCCCCTTCTCCTCAATAACCGATGGGCTCGGTTCCCTGCGCTCTCTACCTCATGTCTCGTTCCACAACCCTGCTGCTGAGAGGCCTCCCTGCTCCTTTCCTCCCGAGCGGCTCCCTCCTCACGGCCGCAGCTCCCGAGGGCCTCGGGGGGGAAGCGAGAACCTCGCCTCGGAGCCAAGCGCAGGCCTCGGAGCTCGGTTACCCCCGTACAGCCGGGCCCATAGCGGCCCCTCCGCGCTCACCAACGACCGGGGGGGGGGAGCCGGGCCTGGGGCCTCCTGCTCGGACCCTGCAGACAAACGCCCTTCGCTCCCGTATAAGTTAAAGCTCCCGGAGCTGAACCCCAAAGCGGGGCTGCGGGAAGGGGCGATGCTCGCCCCGACCCCTCCCGGTTACCGGCTCCGGCCCCCCGCAGCCGGGGGGGCACCAGCTCTGCGAAGCCTCCCGGCCCAAAGAGCGGCCGCGGCGCCGTTCTCCGCCGCAAAGACCCCGGTTCGGCGGCGCGGAGGCTCCGCAGGTCTCTGCTGCGCGGCCCCGCTACGCCGCCATCCCCCGGCGCCCGAGGCCTCTCTACGCTGCCGCTGCTCGGTACCGGATGGCGCTGAGGTGTGGGGGGAACCCCTGCTCCCGGGACCGTCCTTCACCAGCAGGCACAGCCCCTCACGCTGCCCGCGCCATGCCGCGGCCCGGCCCAGCCCCGCTACACCGCCCCGTCACGGCCGGCCCAGGCTCGGCGCCGCCATGTTGGCTCCGTCCGCTCCGCTCCCCGCTCGCAAGCTGCCGCGGCGGCTCCGCTGTGACGTAATATCCACCCCCCCGAGCCCCGCCCACATCCGGGTCACACTCACCTCGACGCCTTCACCGCCGTTGAGAAAGCCGCGGAGCGCGGCGCCCTCTTAGATAAGGGCAGGAGCGCAGCTACATCCGGGTCACAGCTGCGGCTTCAGCGCCCTTGGGGAGCCCTGCTGGCCGCCACCATGTTGGGTGAGGGCAAGCGGGCACCGCCGCCGCACCCTGCGGACACGTCGAGGCGCGGCCGCCATGTTGG